AAAAAAAAAAAAAAAAAAAATGAAGAACAAAGAATACAAAAGCCTGCTGAATGGGTGACTTGCTCTCTGTTCTCCCAGTCCCAATCCCCCAGCACTGTAACAGAACACCAGCTCCGGCCTTCTCTCCTCTCCTGCCCGTATCTCCTGTAGATCCCACAGACCATCCCCTCCTAACCTCACTCCCCATACTCATCCCTGCATCCCAGCCCCCAACCCTAGCGGGCATCCCCACTAAACCATGGGCCACTCCTGCCAGAAAACCAAGTAGGCTGCCCGCAGACCTTCTCTTCTCTCTCTCTCTCTCTCTCTCTCTCTCTCTCTCTCTCTCTCTCTCTCTCTTCTACCAGACCCATTTCCTCAGTCTTGTCCCAAGTACTACAACAGAACATCCATGGCAGCCTTCCCTCATACTTGCCCACATCTCCCATGGAGCCCACAGATCGTCCCTTCCTAACCTCCCTCCCCCACTCTTGATTTGTTCCAGACCCCAACTCCAACAGGTGCCCCCTGCTAACCCAAGTGCAGCTCTTCCCAGAGCAATAAGTAGGCTGAGGGCAGACCCACACCTCTCCAGTCTCATCCCCCCCTCCCCCCGCTCTGTAACAGGAAAGCCACTATGATCTCTCCTTCCTCTCTGACCCCATCCCCAACAGATCACAAAGACTTTGTCCTCCAACCTTCCTTCCCCCAACTCATCCCGTTATCCCAGCCTCCAACACCAGCAGGCATTCCCTGTGAACACACCTGCTGAACAGGCCAGAAAAACAGGCAACACACAACCATCATTCTCTCTCTGAAAATCCAGAGAGGAAACAGAAACCGAGGAACAAAACACCCACCCAATGAAGACAAAGCCAGAAATCAACACCTAGACCTATATTCATCCTACACCCGGATGCCTAGATGTCAGCGTAAGAACACAATCAACAACAGCCAGGGCAATGTGTCTCCACCGGAGTGAGCCCAGTCATCATCCTACTACACAAGCCCTGAATTTTCCAACACAGCTGAAACACAAGAAAATGACCTTAAAACCAACTTTATGAAGATGATAGAGGTCCTTAAAGAGGAAATGAATCTCTTAAAGAAATAAAAAAAAAAACACCCACAAACAGTATAAGGTAATGAATAAAACTGTTCAAGACCTGAAACTGGAAAAAGAAGCAATAAATAAAATCCAAAATGAGGGGATTCTGGAAATGAAAATTTTAGGAATTTGAACAGGAACTGCAGAGGCAAGCTTCACCAACAGAATAGGAGAGATGAAAGAGAGACTCTCAGACATTGAGATGTGGTAGAAGAAATAGATACAACAGTCACAGAAAATGTCAAATCTAAAACACTCCTGGCACAAAACATCTGAGAAATCTGGGACATTATGAAAAGACCAAACCTAAGAATAATAGGAATAGAGGGAGGAGAATAATCCCAGCTCAATGGCCCAGAAAAATGTTTTCAACAAAATCATAAAAGAAAATTTTCCTAACCTAAAGAAGAACATGCCTATAAAGGTACAAGAATCTTATAGAACATCAAATAGATCGGACCAGAAAAGAAAGTCCCCTTGATGCATAATAATCAAAGCACTAAACATACAGAACAAAGAAAGAATAGTAAAAGCTGCAAGGGGAAAAAATAAGTAAAATATAAAGGCAGAGCTATCAGAATCACACCTGACTTCTTCTGAATGGAGACTCTAAAAGACAGAAGAGCCTGGACAGACATGCTACAGACTCTAAGAGACCACAAATACCAGCCCAGACTACTATACTCAGCAAAACTTTCAATCTCCATAAATGGAGAAACTAAGATATTCCATGATAAAGTCAAATTTAAACAACATCTATCTAAAAATCCAGCCCTATAGAAAGTACTAGAAGGAAATTTCAACATAAGGAGGTTAACTACACCCACGAAAACACAGAAAATAAATAATCTCACACCAGCAAAACCAAAAGAAGGAAAGTGTGTGCATGCCCCCACACACACTCACACACTCATACACACACCACCACCAATAACAAAATAACAGGAATCAACAATCATTGGTCATTGATACTTCTCAATATCAATGGTCTCAATTCCCCAATAAAAAGACACAGGCTAACAAAATGGATTCAAAAACAGGATCCAACTTTCTGCTGCATCCAAAACACACGCCTCAACATCAAGGATAGGCATTACCTCAGAATAAAGTGTTGGAAAAAGATATTCCAAGCAAAGAAGGCCCCAAAAGCAAGCTGGTCTAACTATTCTAATGTCTAATCAAATAGACTTCAAACCACAATTAATCAAAAGAGATGGGGAAGGACACTTCATACTCATCAAAGGAAAAATCCACCAAGATGACATTTCAATTTTTAACATCTATGCCCCAAACACAAGGACACCCACTTTTGTAAAAGAAACAAACACTACTGCAGCTTAAATCACATACTGACCTCACACCTTGATAATAGGAGACTCCCGTACCTCACTCTCACCAATGGAAAGTTCATCCAGACAAAAAACTAAACAGAGAAATAATAGAGCTAACACTTTAATGTCTGGTTTATAACAGACATTATAAACCAAATGGCCCTAACAGATATCTACAGAACATTTCACCCAAACACAAAAGAATATGCCTTCTTTGCAGCACCTCATGGAACCCTCTCTAAATTTGACCATGTACTTGGTATATAAAGCAAATCTCAACATATATAAGAAAATTGAAATAACTCCTTGCATCCTGTCAGACCACCACAGATTAAAGCTGGACATCATCAACAACAGAAACAACAGAAAGCTCAAAAATTTATGGAGCCGAAAAACTCTCTACTGAATGAAAAAAAAAATGGGTCAAGAAAGAAAGAAATTTAAAACTTCCTAGAATTCGATGAAAATGA